ATTCCTCTTTTATAGAGAGAGTCTGCAAGATTCTGGTTCTCCTTAATTAAATTTATTTCCCTCGGCTTTGTTTTAGGAATACAATCATGTATATCTGGACTCGAAGAACAAGAATATTACCCACTCTCTCAATTGTATACTTAAATTTAACAATATTTTATTTTGTTAAATCTTTTATTCTGCCATGTTGGTTTGAAACAAAATGATGCCATCTCTAGCAAATAAGTTGATGAAACTTTATGATTTTGCACGTGAACCTGCTTTCATCAAATTTATTCCGAATTTAAAACTTGGAAAACCAAACATATAGGGACTGGGAGGATAAACAGGCTTAGCTATGACATCTTTAAACAAAATAAAACTAAACAATTTTCCAATCATGATCAAAATTTACATTCATTTAAACATTTAAGTGACTTATAATAATAACGCTGTAAGAGAATATTTAAGGTTTTTATTTTTTGTATCGTTAAATAATCCCTATTTTTTTTATATCAAGAACGATAGCAAAATGCAACCTCTTTGTCGTTTTGAACTCTTTTGCAATGCTATGCCTTTGTTGTCACATTTTCTGTCCTATTTCAACTGACTACTTTAATCTTTGAACACGAACATGGGTCAGACAGGAACACTAAGGACAACAATGCTAGGACATCTATTTTACATAGCAAGATTTGACTATGAGATGAGAATTTTACAAATATCTGAGAGTATAGCAAAAATGATTTAACTTCTTTTTATAGTCGTTTAATTTCATACAAACTCTTAATAAAGGACGTGAATATATCCACAAACGACAAACCACTGTATAAATGTTTGGTTAATTACAGGTATGCCTTGTTGAATAATCACATTTAAATGAAGATGATAAAAGCATACATGCGACACATTAAGTCAGCAAACATTCATATTTAAACTTATTGACATACATGTATATGTCAAGAAAATAACTAGGAAATACAATGAAAGAGAAAATACAGGAACGAGAAGTAAAATCAATTAGACGCCAATAAAATGTTTAATAAGAATGAGAAAAAAAAAAAAAACAATGTTCCAGGACCTAATAACAATGCATAATCCAGATGAAATCATTTCAAAGAAAATATCACCATTATCCAAGATATTGCTCATAGTGAGTTTGGTTGTAGAGTTTTTTGACGTTTAGTTTTGAAATCTGCTTCATTACACATAATTAAAAAACCCGGAGGTTTAAATTGAAATATGAAGATAAAGAACAGTAATCTAGCTCAGAAGTCCACTGAAACAATACAAACTGGAAGCAGAGAAAACACGGACCTCTAACAAAAAACATCTGAGATGGGAAAAGTTGCCATGGAGAAGTACATGCAAGCATCCCCTGTCGATGGATCACACCTGCCGTGTGCTTCTTGTCATGATGGAGCGAACGGAAAAAACCCGTAGACTATTCAGGGTGTAAAAATAATTGCCCAACAGTTTGTATGAAAAAACGTCACTCAACAATCTATAAACAATACAAATATGTAAAGTGGGAAAAAACACATACCCCTGGAAATTCCAAAGATGGGAGGAGTAAGCATCTCCTGTTGACCCTTCATTCCCACCTTAAGCCCTATGTACGAATATTGATAATGTAGACGGAACATTCCTTAACCAAATTCAGTACAAAAACAAAGGTTTACTATTGGTATCATCAACGTATCTATTGATGGCTTACCTCTTTTAAGAAATTGTTCGTATATAGAACATGCTTTTGCGTATCCAATCAACTGGGAGACATAAACTCCATATGTAGGTGATAATGGTATATTCCTACACAAATAAGGGAAGTGTGAGGTAGAAAAGATGAATTCACAACGTTTATTATAAAGATTTGTTGTTAATGTTAGTTTGCCATTAATGTCTCTCTCTAGTAAAATATGCAAATATGAAACAGATGTGTCAGACTCTGCGGTGCCTTTTAGTTAGAATTCAAAGGGATATACCGAATCAACATAGAAATGAAAATGAATATTGTTAATTGAAAAATGTTGTTGTTGCATCTAGAATTAGAGGCCACAGCAAGAGACTTCTTCTTTTCATATAGAAATTTTTGAATAAATTCTGCTTCATATTAATAAAAACACAAGTCTGCTAATGACGGGGCACAATTAGTACCCATAGAAATTCCAATAGTTTGATGGAAGACTTGATCTCCAAAAACTACATAAAAATTGTCAATCAGAAACTCACGTATCTTTTAAATATCAACTTCAAAGAATAAAATTAAAAGTTATTTTTTCATATAAATTTTGAGTTTATACTACTAAAAAGTGAGCTCACAGAAGGTACAAAGCAAAAATAAGCGGAAAGATAACAAATCTTATGAATCTTTAAAATTAAATAGAAAATGAATAAAAATAGAAAAAGAGAAAAGGAAAAAGCAATCAAAAAATTTCCCTGGAAGCATCGGATATTTGGCCAGGTACCTGCGAAGAGCAGAATGAATACAATGTCACTTACTCCTTAAAATATGTAATTAAATACACTAAAATCTCTTATACTTGAAGTATATTAGTTTTTAATTTAATGTTAGAACTTCAGTATGTTGCAAGACTTAAACTAAATAATATTCTGAGTGCTGCTTAGTAATATGATTCTGTTACCAATTAATTGTTTTGCTTACAAAAGAAAATGAACAATGGAATTCTTATATGCTCTCGAATATCAAGGGTCTTTTTTTAATTTTCGTATACGAAAATGGTGTACCTAGATGACGAAACGTGAAGTTATTGACAAGAGAATGTATAGAGGATATTCAATGTTTTTTAATTAGTTGGAGATAGAATGAAATATATGGAGATAACGAACAGTATTCAAACTCAAAAGTCCATTATACAATACAAAATAGGAGCAGAGCAAACACGGACCTCCAAACATCAGAGGTGGGATCAGGTGCCATAGAGGAGTAAGCATCCCCTGCCGACCGGTCACACCCGCCGTGTGCTCCTTGTCATGATCGGGAAATAACGGAAAATCCGTCGACAATTCAGTGTGTAAATAATGGCCTAACAATTAGTATGAAAAACGTCAGTCAGCATTTGACTCATTGATAAATTGTATTTGCTGACAAGGTCATTGTATCGACCATAGAACTTACGAAATGATGACTTTAAACGAAACAGCTGATATTCTTGTTTCATCAACTTGTTTTTCAATAATTTACCTTGTTTTAGAAATTGTTCATACGTAGAGCATGCTCTTGCGTATCGAATCAACTGAGAGATATATACCCCGTATGCAGGTGATAAGGGTATATTGCTGCATAAGTAAGGGAAGTTGACGATTGAAAAGTTAAAGTCATCACGTTTATCATAAAGCTTGGTTGTTAGATTACCATTAACGTCTTTTTCAAGTAAAATATCCAAATATGAAACAGATGTGTCAGACTCTGTGGTACGAAATGACGACTTTAAACGAGACAGCTGATATTCTAGAAGTAATGTCACGAGTGGGACAGGATTTGTTATTTTCACGAGTGCGAAGCACGTAAAATTATCAAGAAATCCTGTCTCACGAGAGAAAAAAAATCATATCCATCTACAAAAATGAATATTGAATTTTCTGTTTAATACATTTTCTTTGATTTTCCCTTTGCCTCTTTCTTTTTGGTACACAGTGACATTCGTGGTGACGTCATAGTTGAGCGGTTAGGACATCATAGCATAGGATTGTGAGATTGATTGATTGATTGTATGTTGTTGTACGTCCCATTCGAGAATTTTTCACTCATTTAGAGACGTCACCACATACCGGTGAAGGGCTTCAAATTTTGACCTTTACGCGGCACTCAGGGCCATTGAGCAGTGAGGGATCTTTATCGTGACAACGTCTGTCATGACACGCGGCCTCGGTTTTAAGGTCTCATCCAAAGGACCCGCAACTTTCACTTCAAAGTGCCGAGCGCATGGCGAAAGAACAGTTGCTACCCATTTTTTTATCGACTTAGGTCAGTCGCAGCCGAGATTCGAACTCACGACCTCCCGATCACGGAGCGAGCGCTCTACCTACTGAGCTACCGTGAACGGTAATTGTGAGATTGAAAATATTGTTAAGATGAATAACAATATCATTTTTGAGAAATTTTGGAGGTTGTAGTCTCTGTCAGGATGGTTTACCTACTATCTGTTATTATGAATGCATAGACTAAGTATGTTTTAAAGAGAATTATTACTATAAGTTAAGAGGTTTTTTTTTTTAAATAAACAGAAAAAAATTAATTTTTTATATTTCGAGAATGGAGAACAAATGACACATTATGTCGAAAGTAAAAGCACTGATTTATTGTAATTTAGAAAAAACCGGATTTTCACGCCAAAATGAAAACAGAAATATATATGGAAAGAAAATATGCAGTTTTACTAGATGATGCATTTTTAATTAAGTATGCTAATTGCGGCATTAAACATCGTATCCATTTAAGGCAACAATAAAAATCTGTTCACGAATATTATTTGTGAAAGTATTTATGCCCACGTAATCGAAGATTGAGGGCATATAGTTTTTGCACTGTTCGTCTAGCTGTCTGTCTGTCCGTCTGTTTGTCTCTTTGTCCGCATAAACCTTTACCTAGCCCTTGTGACAAGACCTTTCCTCTGATACCAACATATTTAACCACTTGAACTTGACCTTGGAGTTTGATCCATTTTTGCGAAATTTTACACTTTAACCATGGCCATAAATGAAATTCGAATTTTGTATTTCGAATCTCGAATGAGACTTCTGGGTTTTTGTGCTTTCGAGCATGATCACTGTTCATTATCTTCACACTTCATGAGACCGTATAATCGACGTGTCTGGTCGCTGTAACTCGTGGTAGTAAGGGCTGGAGGATAAGAGACCCTTCATCCCTTAATGACCATAATTACGGACAATTGATCTAAATTTTCAGTTTTTTACCAGCATTTTGTGCGTCCCCGTATAAGTGGAAATGTTATCGAAGGGACATGAATTTAAAAAAAATATACCAAAGAAAATATGCACCAAGTTAAAAAGATTTAAATCGGACGTAAATATCACTTTTTAAAACAAGAATTCACAATAATAATTACACGAACTATAACAGTATCAGTGAAAAAGTCTTTCTTCACTTCCAAATCTCATCCACAGAATTGTCTCTTGCAATCAACTGTTTTGCATAGCCTGCAGAAGATGTCACCAGATTGTGTAACAACTTAAATACAAAGAAAAAATTCAGGACGTTATTTGTAAATAAAACGAGGCTTTTATAAAAACAATACCATTTGCACCTATTATATTATTTCGATATAAAAATAGTTTTTAATGTATATTAAGAAAGGATATAAGGCTTAGAAAACTATATTTTTCTTCAAATTTACCCCATATTGTTTTATAAATAATGTCTTATATTTATGCCAAGAGTAAAGGGTAGCTGTTTCTTCACTTTAAGTCCTTATAAAAGGAAATATAACCTGCCGAAAATCGAATAATTTTACAAACCAGATCACTCGTATATAGACCAGTTTACTTGTACCATTGTTCATCAATATATAACTTAAGGTCAGACGACACGTTCCTCAATAATATATAATTTTTCCTCCTAAGAATTTGTCATTGAAGTATTGATACTTCAACAGGTATCCTCACAAAAAATTGAGGTACCTTACCAGGCATTTGTGCAAGTTTCCAGATAATGGTGTTTTCTATATAACCCTACAGGAAATCTCTTGAATTGTCAATATCACAATTTTTGCTGTATTCATTTTTTAAGAAATCTTAAAAACAGTTTAAATATCACAAGATAATGATTAGTATGAATATTTTTCTTTATATTATGAAGAGATACACACCAGATATTCGAGGAACGTGTCGTTTGACCTTAACTGCAGAATAATAATAGTAAGAATAATTCTCTAAACGTAAAATCTAACAACTCCTAATTATACAATGTTCAGTTTCTTTTCTTAACATATATGTGTAATTAAAGCATCGAAAACCAAATGTAAGGGTTTTGTGCAAACGTACATTAATGAGGAATAATTTGTCCCAAAAATTACAGAGCTAAAATTCGTAATAGACCTTCTGACGCAATATTCGAAAGCATGTTTTAATATGTCTTTTTTAGAAAGCGATACATATCTGATAAACGATAATGATACATGTACATTAGTTTAAAAAAAACCTTCAACGGACATATCACCGATGGTCTTCAAAGCACCGCATAACTTTTGCCTAGCTTCCGATCCATTTTTATCTTCAAAAGGTATATTCTTATCATAAGTTAGGCCGCACTCTTTTAAAAATATTTTCTTTGTCGACTCTGACGAGGTAGAAGGTCTATTATTTCACTAACTTGCTTTTTTTCTTTGTTTTTGATACGTGCGCATAAGTGATATTATAGAGGTTGGAATTCTTGATACGTTATGATGTATTTAATAGACCATAAATAATTTTAAAAATATGTATAATTAGTCATAAAACTTTCAAAAAATATATTTATATAGTAGAAGCAACCAAATAAATGACCATCGGGATAATTCATGTTGTCGTTAATCTATGAGATGCACCTTACTCCCCTTTCAATTGTATGTTATGAATAAATAGATAGATGTGTCTATCATAATCAAATTGATGAAAAAAAAATAATGAAAACATATTATCTATACTTACTAGTCAATCCCTTTGTTGGTCTACCTTTTACAACTGTAATAATTATTGTACATATAATTTAAAATCCATCAGTATATTTTCCATTTACAAAACAATAATAACAACAACAACAAATTCAAAAAAAAAAAAAAACAACATATTTACAATTTTCCTGCTAATGTAACTCTTTCCGTGAGTGGTAAATGTCATGTTTGTATTATGATCAATTCTGTAATGATATTTCAGAACGAATACATATGACGAGTAGCAGGATTTTTTTTAATTACATAGAGTTCACGTGAGGTTTCTAGTTAAGTGCCCAAAATTTTGCAGTTATCATAATAATTAACCACAGAGTCATACACTGCCGATGATTAAATGATTTACAAAGCTTTCAAATATACAACTTAAATGTGTAAAGTGAATGTTTCTCTATGTTACCAAATATGGATCGAATTTTGACCAAGTTATTAAAATCTGGTTTGCAACTTTTATATTTATGTAACTTTCTATGTGGTTATTTTATTTTTTCAACAATGACACACTTTTGAATGAATATGCAAATTATTCATTTTTCGACAGTTTTTCTCAATATGCAATTCTGAGTAGATACTAAATTTATCTTTTTTTTCATATTTTTTCTCCTTCACAAATTAATAGAGTGCAACCTTAAAGTGGCTTACCCCTATTTCCAATTCTGACTCTGCTTTTTTGCCCTCGAGAACCGCGTTGCAAGCCATGTTTTCTTTGTCTTCTCTGCGAGCAAAAGGAATCTATCACTAATAGAAAAATAATCATTGAAAACACGGACATGCAACCTAACCTCATGTTCCTGTTTTAAGACGAATTTGAAGATTATGTTAATAATTTTATATCTGGTGAGAAGTTAAATTTAATTAGCGTTTATGATATCATTAGTCATTTCAGACAGGATGTAAACAGGATTTTACAGAAATACATACATGGAAACCCATAACGAGGAATGCCCAGTTACAAATGATACAATTTTAATATTCAAGATTTAATTGTCAATTTGTTTCATGTTCAGGCAAACGTAAAAAAAAATAATTTCATTTAGTAACTTTTTAAGGGGTTTGAAGCTATGGAATATATCAAACATTGTGTCTGATTATATTGTATTTCTAGAAAAAAGAAGACAACATTCTAATGTCAGATTTTCTTTACCCCAGATCAAGTCTTAATTTACTCCAAATTATAAAAGTCTAAATTTAATAGAGGAAAGGAGAATAATCGTGCTAAAATATCCTCAAGAATGTTATCAAGTTGTAATGTACACATCCTTACGAAATGTTGATGCAAATCTATTAAGGCCAATTTAGCAGGATGTCCTTAGCGAAATGAAGTCATAGAATAAATTGAGTCTTGTCAGCATTCTAGTAAAGAACATAAGGGAATATATACAAATGACTTCCATTAATTTGTGTAGAATAAGAATGGTTTTAAATTGTAGTTTTTTTAGATGACCAATTGCAATTACAAGATAAATGCTCGAGTTCCATTTTACTGTAGAAGCAGTTTCTCTGATGTCAAAAGCCCGGTCTTTAATTTATCTTGAGCTTGTAATAAATGTTGAATAAATGTTGAAATGTCATACGTCATACTATTATTGATCATGATTTAAAAATGATTCAATAAAAATTTCTAAAGATCTTTGGAGATTTTAAGAATCTACTTTTGATATACACGACTTCTTGAATATGCTGCAGAAAAAAATATCTAGAGTTTCTCATTGACAGCAATTAATATTTTTGGAAGGAGTAAAGATAGGTGCTTTATAAAGCATTTATTAGACCCAGCAAAGTATCTTTCTCTGTAAGTATAGTTTCATGAGGTTTGGGAATCAATTAAAGGCATGGTAATTCAATTCACTTCCGAACTGGAATGTTTAAAAAAAAATAAGTTCGTGTAAAACGTAATTTTTAAATTTTCACCTATTGAATGGGACCAGTAAGCATAAATGGGTTTCCAGATGTTGAAAGCATGAATTAGACCCTGCAATGTATATTTCTTTGTAAGTATAGTTTCATGGGGTTTTGGAATACATTAAAGGCATGGTAAGTCATTTTTTTTTACTGGAAATGTTTAAAAAGTTCGTGTTAAAACATAATTTTTCAGAATTTGAATGAGAACAGTAAGAATAAATGGATTTCCAGATGTTGAGTAAAAGCCAAGTTCTTCCAAAACACAGTTGTAATTATTAATCATACAAACAAAGACTACTGTATAATCATCAATTAACGTTAGGAATAAATGTTCAAGGATTTGGTGGGCGACCTTTACCTTTTTAGGTAAAGATTCCGTATACATAAATATAAGCTAGTTTTTCCGTATACATAAATATAAGCTACTTAAGATATTACGCCTCACAAACCAGTTAGATTTTTATTACTAACAAAAATTGACGTACAATGATTCCACAGATATTGTTACAAGCCTTGTCAGCTGGAACCATAGCATATTGCTCACGTTGTCTTTTTCCATTTTTTATCACTTCCAGTTTACTGGGAAAAAATTGATAAGGAAGGATAAGTAGTACTTATGTATTTGCCTTTTAAACGACACCGTGACGCACAAGCTAGAAAACTGACAAAAATAGAATTTTGTTCATGACCTGCTTCAATTACAGTTTTTGGATGTTAAAAATATCTAATTTAAAAATAAAAAAAATATTGTCTTACCCAAGACAAAAATATTGCCTTTACTTTCTTGCAGAAAAGTTGAAGAAGTTGCCATGGTCTCATGTACCAAAAACAAAAAGACGAATATCGGTAGAACAAGAATTTTGAAACAATCTTTAAAAAAGATTATTTAAAACATATTTCTCACCTTTGCATGCCCCAATTCAATGTTGTTTATACGTTTACCCTATAAATAAAAGTATCGTGATCTTGACATGCACGATAACAACGAAAGGTAGATCCAGCCATTGTTTTTCTGGCACTTTTATTTTGCAGTCTTTTCTTGCTTTACAGTACGGTTCTTCGCTATACTTATATTTTTCATAAATCTTTCGTTTTATACGGAAGCGTATTAGTACAATTTTGACACTTTTTATTTTTTAATTTCTACACTTTAATCTGTAAATTTTACACATTAAAGTGTAAAATTTACACTTAAATCTGAAAAACTTATACTGTAATCTGTTATAATCGAACGGTCGTTTCATGGTGTTATACCTAAGACATTTTAAAAATAGTATAAATCTGAGATGTTCACAAGTGTTTACATAAAAGTTTATACATGTTTTTGGAGACCAGGTCTCCCAACAATCTATTGGAATTCCCATGGGTACCAAATTGCGCCCCGTTATTAGCAGACCTTTTTTGTATTCATATGAAGCAGAATTTGTCCAAAATCTTGTACGTGAAAAGAAGAAAACACTTGCTGTGGCCTTCAACTCGACATTTAGATATATCGACGATGTATTGTCAATTAACAATGACTATTTTCATTCTTATATCGATACGATATATCCTGGTGAGCTTGAGATAAAAGATACCACAGAGTCTGACACATCTGTTTCATATTTGGATATTTTACTTGAAAAAGACGTTAATGGTAATCTAACAACCAAGCTTTATGATAAACGTGATGACTTTAACTTTTCAATCGTCAACTTCCCTTACTTATGCAGCAATATACCCTTATCACCTGCATACGGGGTATATATCTCTCAGTTGATTCGATACGCAAGAGCATGCTCTACGTATGAACAATTTCTAAAACAAGGTAAATTATTGAAAAACAAGTTGATGAAACAAGAATATCAGCTGTTTCGTTTAAAGTCATCATTTCGTAAGTTCTATGGTCGATACAATGACCTTGTCAGCAAACAATTTATCATCGAGTCAAATGCTGACTGACGTTTTTCATACTAATTGTTAGGCCATTATTTACACACTGAATTGTCGACGAATTTTTCCGTTATTTCCCGATCATGACAAGGAGCACACGGCGGGTGTGACCGGTCGGCAGGGGATGCTCACTCACCCATGGCACCTGATCCCACCTCTGATGTTTAGAGGTCCGTGTTTGCTCTGCTCCTATTTTTTATTGTTTAATGGACTTTTGAGCTTGAATACTATTCGTTATCTCCATATATTTCATGATAAGTAAGGATTTGCTCACTGGCCTCGTAATTTTCCCCAGCAGAATATCGGGAATCTGCTTTCAATCCAGTATATTTCTTTAGTACTATAGTAAAGAGCGACGAACAGTAAAAAATATATATCTCAAATATTTTTGTCTTCTCATTTGCAGTTTTCAGATTGCTATTGCAAGTGTATGGGTCTATGATCATGATGTAAAATATAACAGTTAAAATTACGATGATTTTAGAAGGTAACAATAAAGAAACATCATTGAATCAAAGGATATTAATTTCTATGCTGTTCCAAAATTAATATAAAATCATATACTTTAATTATTTATATGTATATACTTTAATGATTAATATATTAATTGGTTATTTAAAAATTTTCAATTCAGTAACTAATTCAATTGGTGCCAGTAATAAATGTTGAATGTAATTCAATTATTGCTATCAATAATTGAACTGCCGAGCGCATCAAATGAATTTGCGTATCATGATCTCAATATCATATTCACTGAGATATGTGTGTTTGCTTTGCTCTTCACTTCCACTGAATTCATAATTCTTTTAAATATTCTATGAAAGTCTCACTTATATCAGTGATACTAGATTGCTTATTATTTGTATTATATCAATACATATAATATCTGATAAGTAATTATTTTCCACGTATTGTTAAATAAGAAATCAAATTTATTTTTTTTTTCATTCAGGATTCATGGTCTGTTGGCTTTAAGGCGTGTTACTTTAAAAGATGAAGTTGCCAAATTGATTCTGTGAATTGAAATTTACAGATTAAAGAGTAAAATTTACACTTTAATGTGTAAAATTTACAGATTGAAGTGTAAATTTTACAGATTAAAGTGTAGAATTTACAGATTAAAGTGTAAAATTTACAGTTTAAAGTGTAAATTTTACAGATTAATGTGTAAAGTTTACAGATTAAAGTTTAAAATTTGCAGATTAAAGTGTAAAATTTACAGATTAAAGTGTGGAAAATGAAAAATAAAGTTTAATGTCTAAAGTTTACAATGATATGGATCAAGGTGCATTTCAAGCATAAAATATGCATAGAAATGTGTATTGAAAAGGGAGGTCATTTGGTTTCGTTACACTTTTTATGCCGACCAAGAGCTATTCTGAGAACATGACGTCATAAGCTTATTAATAACCAGGGACTACCACTTTGAACACCCCTATTTTTGGATATGAATATTTATCTGACACATTGCTCTTGCATTTGGTCAAAATATTTTTAGAAATTAAACTTTTTAAAAAAGTTACAAACAAAATAAAACACATGTTTAAACTATATAAGTCTATATGTAAGCTAATTGTGGTCCGGGTCCTTATTTGTTAGTGAAACGGTCGCCAGAATGTTACGTTCAGTCAGATAAGCTTTAAGAGCACTCATGTGTTGTAGATTAACTCTGTTCAAATGACACCACCAAAGTTAGGACGAGGTTTCATTTGATCAATGAACTGTGAAACAAAAGCAAGGCTGCAGGCATCCCCACGTTGGCCATGTCTGTAATAAAAAAGGATTTACGGATTCCGGAAATCACTGCGCTTAAAAAAAAGTGTCACGGGGTTGCACAGAACTTTCCTAAATTTTGTATTCATTGCTCAGTGGTTCTTTTGAAGTTTATAATATTTTGCCTGGCTTTTTTTTTTTTTTTAAATTAGTTAACCCTCT